TAGCCAATAGCAAGAGTGAAAGGCAATAGACATTTGATTCACATAACAGTATCTTTTATTCCCGTTGCCTTTCACATTGGCCCTTCTTTCGCATTTTATCTGCTTTGCACACACTGCCAATACATAATAATTAAGAATTTGAAATCTAAACATTGAAACCTCCACAACGTGATAATATTTAAAGCTATGATTCTGAGCATAGCTTTCAAGTCCCTTGCAGCTCCAGCTTTCAGTTCATTAAGTCCACTTAATTTCCATGTTAGAACACTACCACTGTCTACAGCCATACCACCCTGGATGCACCCAATCTCATCTGATCTCAGAAGCTAAGCAGGTCAGGCCTGGTTATTACTTGGACAGAACATTAGTACTAATATGACATTACCATACGTGTCCACAGGGATTATCTCTGGGATTATCCCCTCATCTCAAGATCCTTAATTTAATCACGTATGCAAAGACCCTTTTTCCAAATAAGGTAACATTCACAGCTTCTAGGGATTTGATATGGATGTCTTTTGGAAGGCCATTATTTCAGTCTACCACAGAAGGTAATAATTGCAATAATTGCCTAAGGATGATCTAAATGTTCAACAGCAGGATATTAGTTAAACAAATGATGGTACATTCACCTAATGAATTAATATATATACAGTCATTAAAAATAATGCTAATGCAAATTGTTCCATTTATCTATTGCTGCATTAAAAATTCACCCAAAATTTAGTGTCATACAATAATAATTATTGCAGGTAAGATCTACTTATTGACATTAAAATTAATAGGTAAAAACTTAAGGAGAACCAGAATATTTATATTGTCTTAAATTATCTCCTCCAAGATATTTAGTTAATTGCAAGAGAAAAAATATCAAGTTTACAGTGGAAAAAGGCAGCAGACACTACCTTAACTCAGTGATCAAGGTTAACATCACTAGTAATATACATCAACATTATTTACCCTGAGCATGATTGACTGAGAAGGTTGCATAACTTCCGGGATATGCTTGCCAAAAATGCATAACTTTCTTCTAATCATGAGAAAACTTCACACATACCAAAATTGAAGGATATTTTACAAAATTACTGACCAGTACCTTCCAAAAGGTTTAAGATCATGAAAGACAAGGAAAGACTGAGGAATCATCACAGATTAGAGAAGACTAAGAAGATATGACAACTAAATGCAATATGCGATCCTGGATTAAATACTAGAAAATAAAAAGCATATTAGTGGAAAAACTGGTAAAATTTTAAGGAGGTTTTGTAGTTTAATTAATAGTATTATAACAATGTTAATGTCTTGGTTTTGATCATTGTACTGTGGTTATATAAGATTGGAGAAGCCAAGGGGAAGGGTATAAGGAACTCTGTATCTGTGCAACTATTCTATAAATTTAAAGTTATTTCAAAATAAAAAGTAAAAAACAAAACTTAATGGCATACAAAAAATATACTTAAAATGCTCATCACTAATCATCAGAGAAATGTAAATTAAAAATCACAATGAAATATCATCTCACACCTGTTAGACTATCTACCACCAAAAAGACAAAGAGATAATAAGTGTTGGTGAGGAAGTGGAGAGGCTGCCTCACTCTTATACATTGCTGGTGGGAATGTAAATTAGTACAGCCATTATGGAAAATGTGTGAAGGTTCCTCAAAATATATAAAACAGAATTACTGTATGAGGTAGCACTCCCACTTCTGAATATTTATCCAAAAGATTTGAAATAAGTTTGTTGAAGAGATATCTGTATTCCTGTTCATTGCAGCACTACTCACAATAGCCACATTATGGAATCAACTTAAGTGTCCATCAATAGGTGAATGAATGTGCAATTATCATATAACCATAAAAATTAAAAAGATTTTTAAAAAACAACCTCTCCAAAAAGTCCCAGATGAATGGATAAAGCAAATGTGGCATATATCGACAATGGAATACTATTCAGCCTTAAAAAAGGAAATTCTGTCATTTGTTACAACATGAATGGAATTAAAGAACATAATGCTAAGAGAAATAAGTCAGGCACAAATAAACAAATATCACTTATATATGGACTCTAAAACAATCAAACTTATAGAAGCAGAGAATAGAATGATGGTTACAGAGACTGGGGAGTCAGGAGAATAGGGAGATGATGGTCAAAGGGTACAAAGTCGCAGTAAGATGGGGGAATAACAGCTTTTGTGAGATTTATTGTACACTTATTAATATTAGTTATATTAATATACAACTATAGTTACATATAACTACATAATCATATATAACTAAATATATAACTATATCATATATAAATATAATAATTAACATTAATTATAATAATAGTATTGATTATAATTAAGTTAATAATACTCAAAATTGCTAAGAGTAAATTTCAAATGTTCTCACTACAAAAGATGTTAAGTATTCGGGGTGATAGATATGTTAATTAGCTTGATTTAATCATTCTACATTGTATTCATAAATCATAACATCACTTTGTACTCCATTAATACATATAATTATAAATTGTCAATTTACAATGAAATTTGAAAAACATTTAATGATACAAAACAATGAACCTTTTATCATGCTCGTGCTTCTATGGGTCAGGAATTTGAAGGACACAGTGGGAACAATTTGTTTCTGCTCCTTCATGAATGGGGGCCTCAGCTGGCTGGGTGGCTCCATTTGGCTGGAAATGTCTGGAGCAGGTCAACTGGGGCCATATGTCCAGCCTTCTTTACATGGTGTTTGCTGCAGCTGAAATATCCAAAGTTGCTCCTTTATTCACACCTCTGGAGCCTGCATTGAGACAGCTGGAACAGTGTGTCAGTCTCCTAGGACTGCTATAACAAATTACCCCAGGCTGAGTAGCTGAAAATAACATAAATTTATTCTCTCACAGTCCTGGAAATTAGATATCTAAAATCATGGTATCAGCGGAGCATTCCCTCTGAAATCCTCCTTGTGTCTTCCTAGCTTCTTGTGGCTCCCAGCAATTCTTGGCAGTCCTTGGCTTGTAGCTACATCACTCTAATCTCTGCTTCTGTCTTCACATGGCCTTCTTCCCTGTGTCTCTGTGTCTCTGAGTCCTCTTCTCTTTTTATAAGGACAGCAGTCATTAGGTTTAGGGCTCACCCTAATCCAGTATGACTTCACCTGAACTAATTACTTCTGCAAAGACTCTATTTCCAAATGATGTCACCCTCTGAGGTTGCAGGTAGATATGCATTTGAAGGGGACACTACTGAAATCACTATAGCCAGGAAATGGCCGGCATCATTTTCTCTCTGCATGGCCTCTCTGTATGGCTTGCTTGGGCTTTCTCACAGTATGGCAGCCTCAGGGTAGACTGACCTCTTCCATAATGGCTGGCTTTCTTCTGAGCGAGCCTTCTAAGAGAAGCAGAAACTGCCAGTCTTCTTAAACACTAGTCCTAGAAATGGCATACATCAATTCTGCTGTAATATATCAGCCACAGTTGTCCCAGGCTAGTCAAGACTAACAAGAGAGGGAGAACTAGACTCCATCTCTAAATGAAGAGTAGAATGAATGTGCATAGAGAGAAGAAATTGAGGGCAGCCACCTTGAAACAAACTACCATACAGATTTATTCTTATTGTCAGCTAAAGGGGCTCATGAAAGACAAAGTGAAAAAAAAGTTACAAAACACCATATATATAATTTTATGCCATTTTTATTCTTAAAATATATCTATATGGATATTTACACTAAACATGTCTCAAAAGATAAAGAGTAAACCAAAATATCAATAGCGATTATCTCTGCAAGTTGAGAATTTAAGTGACAGTAATTTTTTTCTTTTTTTTTTTGACCAATATTTTCTAATATAGATTACACATGTGCTACTTCTGTAACAAAATAGAAGATGCAAAACGTAAATGATCTATGATTTTAATATAGATAAGGCTAATTTTTTTGGTGTTTTAATTGGGATACACAAATGGCAAAGTAGATTTCAAGAAGAAAAATCTAGACAACAGATCTACCCATTATAAACTTAGAAATGTTCATTTTTTTTAAAAGTCCTTTGTCATAGAGAGGGCAATCTAGATGGGGCATCCATCATCTTAAGGAGAAACATTTGGTGCATTGTAAACCCAAATCTCTCAAGCCCAAGCAGCTTCTGAGCTCTCAATACCAGGTCCAGAAGAAACAAACCTAAAGGAATATCATTCATATCAAAGCTCCATGCAGTTGCAGTGGCCTGAATCAGGTTCTTGAGATTCTAAAATGGTACATATTCACTTTGTAGAAGAAAAAGGATCCCACTATTCTCAAAGAAATTAAAGGCTCCTGCTTTAGAGCCAGTCTGCCCAAGAAGAACTAGACAGCCCCCTATATAATGTAGGTCAAAGGATTTCAAAACTATCCTGCCAAAAAATACCAACTGTTTCCAATCCCTAAAATTTTCACCATTATATTAGTGGATTAAAGGGTACATGACTCCATAATATTTCTGTTTTAAAAGAAGAAGAAAACTATTTACAAATATACATACAGACAAAGAGGAAAGATAGAAATATATGTGCAGAATTAATTGTCTGGTCTCAAAAAGTAGGGCTGTGAGAGAATAGGAAATAGGACAACCTCTTTACGAAAGGGGTTGCACAGGCCTGAGTGATACCTTGTGAGAGGATCCTAGGCAGTTAGGGAACTGTCTGTATATTATGAGTGTCTAAAGACATCTAACAGGGACAGAAAGTAAAGGACAGAAAGTAAAGCAAAGATATATTTTATCTATATCCCAATTTTTCCCACCCTGTCCACCTCACCACTGAGCTGATACAAACCCTCAAAAACACTGAAACGTACCTAAATTCAGAGTAGTTCCATATAATCCTACCTAATGTGATCAATTATTTCCCCTAAAGAAGAGTCAAATTCACAAAGAACAAGAAGGAAAAAATGGATTGGAATTTTTTTAATCCAAATAGTCTAAGACTTTGAGATAAAAACAAAAAATAAATGACATCTCCATCTACTTACCAACAGTTTCTTCAGATTCAGTAGTCAAAGATAAAAATTTTTTTGTATTTTCCATCTCCTCATTACTTTGCAAAGCCTCTCTATTTTTTGCAGACTAATGAAAGAAAAAATAACATTTAAACATGGGCAAAGGTGGCACTATACTCATTGATGTGTTTTATTTCAACATAGTTCCCAATCATGTACATGCAAACAAGAAGGATCAAGCCATTTTTATTTCCTTAATTAGGAAATTTGTAAATGTTTCATCTTCTTGCAAAATTCTGTCAATGGGAATTACCAAAGAAAGTTGGAGTATATGCTTATCATTATATGATAATTACCTTGCTTAAAAGTATCCTAAAGTTTCTGCTTGATATTTTCATAACTAATGAGTAATCTTAAGGTATACCATCAAATTGAAATTTCAGACATTTTAAGACTGGTACTGTATGTTATTATGTTTCCATTTATAATTCTTGTTCCAAAGGAAATAAAAACTTGCTTTGAGATTCAATAGGGGCCGGGCGCGGTGGCTCACGCCTGTAATCCTAGCACTCTGGGAGGCCGAGGCGGGCGGATTGCTCGAGGTCAGGAGTTCGAAACCAGCCTGAGCAAGAGCGAGACCCCGTCTCTACTATAAAAATAGAAAGAAATTAATTGGCCAACTAATATATATATATAAAAATTAGCCGGGCATGGTGGCACATGCCTGTAGTCCCAGCTACTCGGGAGGCTGAGGCAGGAGGATTACTTGAGCCCAGGAGTTTGAGGTTGCTGTGAGCTAGGCTGACGCCACGGCACTCACTATAGCCTAGGCAACAAGCGAGACTCTGTCTCAAAAAAAAAAAAAAAAAAAAAAAAAAAGAGATTCAATAGGAAAAAAATGATAGGCTAACTTTTTCTGCTAAAATTTACAGAAGTTAGTCAACTGATCAAGGAGGGCTTTATCAAAAACAACCAATCTCATATTACCGGCTCCTTTTGCAAAGGTGCTCCCCTTTGATGGGCAAAATTCAAATATGAGCCAATGGCTACACACCAAGTTAATGCCAACATCTAGTCAATTCAACCCCTGCATATTCATCCAAGGAGGCCAAGGAAAGTTAATCAAGCACCAGAAATTTGTTGAGACAGAAGCAAACGGAACATGGTCCCAGACCTCAAGCATTTTATAGCTTCCTGAAGAAATCTTTACCACCACATAAAACAGTGAACTCCCAGACTTCTTCATCACAAAGTTTTGCTCAAATAACAATGCTATGCACAGGGTTAAATTTTTGTATATTTGTCTATTAACCTCCAAAGTGGAAGGTAGATAAAGAAAAAGCAGATATACATGCTTGATAAAAGTAGCCATTATATCCCTTGCTATTCCAGAGTTGGAGGAGCCCCAGCCTGACAATAGGAAGAGAGGATCTACTGGGCCCATCCATGGGAGGATGAACACACCAGTGCAGCACCCGAATCTGGAATGCTGCAAGCTAACTTCTCTGGTTCCAGAAAATTATCACCCCCACTCCCCACTCACACATACATATATGCACATCACTGCCACTACCTCCACAAAATAAAGCAATAAAAGCAAACCACGTTAACACCATGCAATCCATGCTTTTCTTACTCATTTCAGAGGAAATTGTTTCTTATATTTCAGCATAAGGTTAGATAATTCTTACCTTAAGTTCTTCCCACAGCTTTATTCTCATTTCTAGCCCTTGCTTCTTAATTTCTTTTTCTCTATCTTGTTTCTTCACTAATATTTTATCAAGTCTCTTCATCTTCTGAATAGCATCTTGAAGCTGAGAATCTAATTCTTTTAATTTGGGTTCATCTATATCATGTTAAAAGTAAGAATGGGTTAGAAGTTTAAGAAAAACATGAAGTTTTGTTTTGTTTTTACTATTTGTTCATTCATTCAATAAATATTTTTGGCTGGTGGTAATAACTACTACACTGGTATCGTGTAGCTTGATTTACAATGTGCTTTCATGTGTATTCTTTATATATTCACAGTTGTATATCTTCACAGTTGAGATAACTGAGTCTTCTCAAATAGCTAATAAATTATAGCATTGGACTCAGAAATGGGTCTCTTATAATTTTTTTTTTTTTTTGAGACAGAGTCTCACTTTGTTGCCCATGCTAGAGTGCCATGGCGTCAGCCTAGCTCACAGCAACCTCAAACTCCTGGGCTCAAGCGATCCTCCTGCCTCAGCCTCCCAAGTAGCCGAAACTATAGGCATGCACCAGCTTGCCCAGCTAATTTTTTCTATATATTTTTAGTTGGCCAATTAATTTCTTTCTATTTTTAGTAGAGACGGGGTCTTGCTCTTGCTCAGGCTGGTCTCAAACTCCTGACCTTGAGCAATCCTCCCACCTCGGCCTCCCAGAGTGCTAGGATTATAGGTGTGAGCCACTGTGCCTGGCCACTCTTATGATTTTAAATCCCCAATTTTTTCTCCTTCATTCTGCTATACCTTCTATATTCACGACGAACAAATAGGAAATAAGGAATAAGTACTCCATGTAGCTAGACATCTTTTTTTCTATGCTCCTTCTATTTGTTCTAATTTCTTGAAGTGTCTACTAATAAAAAGGTTCTTGAGTTATATATAATTGACAGCAACATATTTGAAATTAAGGACTCTTTAGAACTTTTATCATTTAATTTTAACTTATGATTAATGATAATGATAACTAACATTTATAGAGTCATCTGATAGGGACAGTTTTAAGTACCTTATTTACATATATTATTTAATCATCATCATAACCCTGTGAGGTGGCATAAGCATTGTTCTCATTTTACAAATTAGTAAACTGAGCCTAGTTTGTAACTGAGTTCCATACATGTCCAAGGTGATATAACTGTTAAATGGCAGAGCCAGGTTCCACCCAAATCTGTCTGACTTCAGAGCCAAAGCTCTCAGCCACCAGGTGATACCCCCCCTCTGTGAAATGTGATGAAAGCTGATAATCTGATAATCAGCATGAATGCTCAGATATTAAGTTTCAGCCACCCCAGGTTAGGTCATTAGAACTGGCATATTGTGCTCAGTAAAGCCAAATTCAGCAACTTTTGAAAATCCAAAGAGATCATTGATATTTCCCAATAATGTACAACACTTCCTCTTGAAGGAAATAAAGGAGATATTGTTTCGAGGAAAGAAGCTTATCCAAAAAGAATATTGATCTTATTAATAAGGCACCTCCTCCAATCTTACTGCTTATGTACTTCAAAAGTAACAGCCTCTAGCTGTATTATAATTCCCAACTATCAATCCTAGCATTCTCAGGTTCCATTTATATAGGTAGTCTATACATAGCAGGCATTTTGAAATAACTCATGCAGTACTGCAACAATATAAACAAACACAATATAAACTGGGCCAATAGCTAATCTCAATTATAATGCCTTGTTTCCTGATAACTGTAATCCTGAGTCATCTAACCTAAATTTGAGAGCTAATCTCATCCCAAACATACTCTAAATTAGCAGTCCTCAAATGTTTCATCAACTCACCTTTACAGCCTGAAAAATTACTGAGAATTCAAAGTAGCTTTTATTTATGTGGGTTATATCTATTGATAAATACCATATTAGAAATTAAACCTGAAAAATATTATAAATATTCACTATTAATTTATTTAAAAATAATAAGTATGCTATTACTAATTAGATGCTAACATAAATATCACATTTTTATGACAAATAACTATACTCTCTAAAATAAATACTGGCAAAAGTTGCATTGTTTAAATGTTTAATACAAATTAAAAATTTTAATTTCATTAAATTAATTAAAACACCTGGATTAATAAAAAAAGGTGGATTCTCATATCTGCCTCTACAGTCAATCTATTGCAATCTGCTATTTTGGTTTAAGCATATAAAGAAACTTTGGCCTCACACAGATATGTAGTTGGAAAAGGAAGGAGAAATTTAATAGCGTATTCAGATAATCAGATATTCTTCTTTGATACTATACCAAAATTTGACAGGAGTAGTTTCTTAAAGGTTAGTTGTAATGTGAAATTTATAACCATATCAGTCAGTTTTTTGTATTTGTTCATTAAAATTCATGGATCCATACTTCATGTAAACAAAGGATCTTTCACCCTGCATTGATCATTTAGAAAATAGTAGTTAAATGAATTATGCAGACCTTCAAAATATTGACACATTTCATTTTACAATAATTTAAAATCACATTTGTTAATATCAGCACTGATTTTTATAGGAAAAATCTAAGTATTGGGAAGCTATCAAGCTCACAGTGACATACACAAGTTTTCCAAAACTCTAAATTTTCATTTGAAAGCTCAAATTTTATCATTGGCAACAAGTAACAGGCTCACTTCATTTTTGTTTTGTTTTGTTTTTGTTTTTGTTTTTGTTTTTTGTGTTTTGTTTTTTTGAGACAGAGTCTCGCTTTGTTGCCCAGGCTAGAGTGAGTGCCGTGGCGTCAGCCTAGCTCACAGCAACCTCAAACTCCTGGTCTCAAGTGATCTTCCTGCCTCAACCTCCCGAGTAGCTGGGACTATAGGCATGCGCCACCATGCCCGCCTAATTTTTTCTATCTATATTAGTTGGCCAATTAATTTCTTTCTATTTATAGTAGAGACGGGGTCTCACTTTTGCTCAGGCTGGTTTCGAACTCCTGACCTTGAGCAATCCGCCCGCCTCGGCCTCCCAGAGTGCTAGGATTATAGGCGTGAGCCACCGCCCCCAGCCTCACTTCATTTTTTAAAAAAGAAATCTGAGAAATACCCAAGTCTGAATGATAATAGTGTGTCTGTCATTCTTTCAAGTAAAAATGGTGTTCTATTTAAAAAGTGGCCAGTTCAGGCCTCAATTCAAACTATCACATGAGTACTTTTCCTTAAAACAACCTTCATATTTTGGTATATGAAAAAATTGCTTTATGTGTACTTCCCATTTTGCCCCACAGGATATTAAGAAGATGTATATTCAAGGGTCAAGATTTAATAAAATTAATATTTTCTACTGTTTTATCAAGGAAATCCTTGAATGACACTGGCTATTTCTTTTTCCTCCCAGTGCCTGGATGCAGAGAATACAATGACTACCAGTACACTGTGGTGCCATTGTCTTGATTCGTGCTAAGGCACTAGCAATTTTGCCCACCACTACTTTTGTACCATCAGTGCAAATGTCAATACACTAGGCAAAAAGGCAAATAGCATCTCAGTGTTACTATAAAAACAGTTTGGGGTTTTTTTGTTTTTTTGTTTTTTGAGACAGAGTCTCACCATGTTGCCCATGCTAGAGTGCCGTGGCATCAGCCTAGCTTACAGCAACCTCAAACTCCTGGGCTCAAGTGATCCTCCTGCCTCAGCCTCCTGAGTAGCTGGGACTACAGGCATGCGCCACCATGCCCGGCTAATTTTTTCTATATATATATTTTTTTAGTTGGCCAATTAATTTCTATTTATAATAGAGACGGGGTCTCACTCTTGCTCAGGCTGGTCTCAAACTCCTGACCTCGAGCAATCCTCCCTCCTCGGCCTCCCAGGGTGCTAGGATTACAGGCATGAGCCACCACACCCAACCATAAAAACAGTTTTTATCTCACAGAGCCCCTGAAAGGATCTTGGAGACAACCACCCCCCACAAGAGCTCTGTAGATCACATTTAAGAACGAGTGTTTTAATTCAGTCTGACCAGAATTATAATAATGTTAATACTCTGGGAAAAAAGTACTCTTTCAACATCCAAATGTTATTACAACTGAGTGGGATTACCCCCAAAAAGGCATTTAAAAATTGCAGGATACATGTTATTGTATAATTTTAGTCATAAAAAAAATCAATAAATCATGCCATAAAAAAGCAGAAATACTTCCTACTCGATTAATGTATTAATAAAATGACCACAATAACAATTATATAAAATGGCATATTTTATTATATTTCTAAGTGTAGTTAAGGGCTCTTAATATTCTTATAAATAAAAAGTGATTGCTTTCTCATAAAAAGTATGTCGCCCTTTTTTTAGTTTATTATTTCTACTTAGCTGATAAAAGCACATCTAATTCTAATACTTTAAATATATCATCTGTAATTATCATTAGCCAATCACCTACTGATTATCCTACCTGAACACTCAAGGATTATCTGATGTTGAACAAAATCCAGATGTTCATCTGACCTCTCTTTGGCCAATTTTATTTTCTCAGAGTAATTTTTCCATTTATTGTCATTACTATTTCTTCTCTCCTCTGTATTAGTGCTGTCTGAGTGGTCGTCTTTATCAGAGTTTAACTTGCTTGCAGTATCAACCTAAAAATAATTTCCCAAAAACAGTTTCTAAAAAATAATTTATTTTTTTAAACTTTATATTTCTAGAATATTTTAACACTCATAGAAGCACATGTGAGAACATACATAAAAACATACACTAGCATTAAGTAGTCTATAAATATAACACTTTGTAATTAAATATAATTTAACTACACAATTAAATTTAATATTTATACCATTCTCTAGCAATAATGGAAAAGGATCTAAATCAGACCTGAAGAGAACTGCTATCTGGCAGGCTCTGGGGATGAGGCATGATAGACTCTGCTCCTTGAGCTTATAGTTGGATGAAAGTCAGAGATCTAGAGCCGAGCAGTCCAATACCAAAGCTGCTTGCCACATGTTGCTATGAATGCTTGAAGAGTGGCTAGTCTGCACATGAAGAGGAATGGAAAAGGACCTCTATCTCTTGCCACATACAAAAATTAATTCAAGATGGAGTAAAGACTTAAATGTAAAGCATGAAACCACAAAAATTCTAGAAGAAAACATAAGAAAAACTCTTCTAGACAGTCCTCAGCAAAGAATTTATGACTAAGATCCCAAAGGCAAATACAGCAGCAACAAAAATAAATAAATGAGATTTAATTAAATTAAAAACCTTCTGTACAGCAAGGGAAATAATCGACAGAGTAAACAGGCAATGGGAGAAAATATTGACATACTACATATCTGACAAAGAACTATTATCCAGAATCTACAAAAAACTGAAACAAATCAGCAAGAAAAAAACAAATAACCCCATTTAAAAGTGAGCAAAAGACATGAACAGAATTTTTTCAAAAAAAGATAGACAAATGGCCAAAAAAACATGAAAAAATGCTCAACATCACTAATAATCAGGGAAATACAAATTAAAACCACAATGAGATACCACCTTACCTCTGTCAGAATGGCATTAAAAAGTCAAAAAACAATAGATGCTGGCATGGATGTAGAGAAAAAAGAACACTTATACACTGTTGGTGGGACTGCAAACTAGTATAACCCCTATGGAAAGCAATATGGAGATTCCTTAAAGAGATGAAAGTAGACCTACCATTCTATCCAGCAATCCCACTACTGGGTATCACCCAAAGAAAAAGAAATCATTTTATCAAAAAGACACCTGCACAATTCACAATTGTTTATTTCAGCACAATTGCAAAGATAGGGAATCAACCTAAGTGTCTATCAATTCATGAGTGGATAATGAAAATGTGGTATATGGAGTATCATATCATAAAAAGAATGAAATAATGTCTTTCACAGGAACTCAGATGGAACTGGAGACCATTATCCTAAGTGAAGTATCTCAGGAATGGAAACACAAACACCACATGTTCTCACTAATAAGTCGGAGCTAAACAAGGGGTATGAATGGGCACAAAGAAACATAAAGGACATTGTAAAATAAGAAGAGGGTAGGTGGGAGGGGGTGAAGGTTAAAAACTTCCTCACCAAGTATAATGAACACTATCCTAGAAGCTGGCATATTAAAAGCCCTGACTTCAGCATTATACATTGTATCCATGTAACAAAAAACATTTGTACCCCTTAATATTTTGAAATTAAAAGAAAAGAAAAGTAGCTAGTCTGAATTAGACATGCTTCCTAATGAGAGTCTTCTAATCAGAATCCTGGGCTTTAGCAATTTATTTCTTTTTATGCTAGTCAAAGTGTTTTTCTACTTCACTTTGGTTTCCCTTTACATTTTAGCAAAGCTCGTTTTGAAAACACCAGCTTGGCACAGCTGTGTTTTCCTAAGAGAGAATAAAAAAAGACATCCATGGCTGGGCCAGGAAAAAATGGGGATCTCAGGCCTAGGGGGTCTATGCACAGTGGGAAGAGTCACAATGGAAGTGAACACCGCTCAATGAAGAGACAAGATCTCAAATGCAGTACATATGATAAAAACCAGACTGAAAAGCTACACGATTCCACTTACATGACCTTCCAGAAAAGGAGAAAGTAAAGGGAGCGATAATAGATCAGTAATTGTCAGGGATTAAGGGTGAGAAGAGATTGTTTGCAAAGGAGTAAAATGAGGAAATTTTTTTGAGGGATGATAGAATTGTTTTATATCTTGATTGTGAGGATGGTTACATCACTCAACCTATTTGCCAAAATTCATAGAACTATACACTAAAAGGTGAATTTTACTGCCTGTAAACTTTTTAATTAAAAACTGAAAGTTAGTAAGAGATCAAATGAGACACAATGTTAACAGATGTAAAAATTTAACATCATGAAGTTAGAAATTCTCCCCATATTAATCTACAAAATCAAAGCAATTTCAAAGAAGCCCCAACGGTATTTTTCAGGACTTGAAAAATCAACCTAAAATACATGTAGATGAGCAAAAAGCCCAATATAGCTAAGATATTCCTGAAAAAAATATATAAGATAGGAGACCCACCCTACTAGATATCAGTGATTATTACAAAACTATAGCAAAACTGTAAGAGTTAACACCACATAGCAATGATACCAGATTTGATGAAACAAAACAGAGACCTCAGCTAGAAACTGTGTTTTCTGAAGTCACTTGCAGCTAGGGTTCTGGAGCTTGGCATGATCCAATTTGATGTACCAGCACAAGATTTAGAAGGCAGACAGGAGATAGAAGCTTCCTCTAACTTCTCAATAAGAAGATGGCAAAAAATATCAAAGGCAGGCATCTCTGCATGTCTAGTCACCAGCCTTGTGGTCTGAGAGTCTTGTGGCAGTGCCAGAAGCAACAATCGCAGTTTTCTGCTCTTTTTGCAGCCATGGTGGTGTGGCCTGGGAACCAACAATCCAGGGGAAGCCTCCTCCTTGGATTTCCTTCCCTGCTGGCCTTCTGTTGGTTTTGAGGAGTTGAATTCTTATACTCAATCCCTTTCTGCTTGAAATACCTCAAGTGCTATTTCCTGCACTAAATCATGATAGACAAAACTTAAGAGTTCCCTAATGCTGAGTCCAGTCCGTGAATCCAAAGAATATATGAGTATGGATTCATTAACTTGCAAAGATTTTTTTCACTATAATGTTCAAAATTTTTGTTTCCTAAACCTTGAAAGTAATAAACTGTACCATATCACAGATGGAAAAACTGATTCCATTTTTAAAACATCAAGTTTACATATTTTAAGAAAAGAAAAAGAGACTACTAAAGAAAAGAAGGTGATGGCCAGGTAATACACCTAACAACAAAACACCTATACACTACATGGCCTTTACCAAACCATATTTTTTAAATACTGAATCTTTTTCAATGCTGGCATATTAGATGTTAGAATACAAAGCTCCCTTATAAAGAAAAAAAGTCAACATACAAGCCTTAACAAAGTACAATGTGGACAAATAAACCACACTCCAAAAAAAAGAAAGAAAAGCAGCAAGGAGGGAGAGATGAAGGAAAGGAGGAAGGAACTGAGGAGGGAGAGAGATGGGGACAGAGGAAGAAAGGAAGGAAACAGTCAGAGTACTTCATATTAAATAATCTGGAGTAAAATCCAAGAAATCTGCAAGTGTTCCCTGAACACATGGTCTAAAAAGAAAACTTCAAATGGAATGTTAACAACAACCTTGGTTTTACCAATTGCTGAAATTTGGAGGAAAAGAGTTTAAATCATTTCTAAACAACAAATTACCTTGAAAGACCCTGGTTCTGGTGAGAGCACCTCCAAAGAAGCATTTGAACTACTGCTCCCAGGACGTGTTCTTGAATTTGAGGCTGGTTTTGAAATTCCATCTAGGTTTCCCTTTATAATATCCATTGACATCCTGAAACAAACAAAAAATTAAAAAGTGACTTGGATATTTAAATGTTTCATTAGTTAGTGTTACTATCCAATTACTCAGAGCCTTTGTTTTCAGCATTACATTACTACCAAAGTCACACTTAAGGGTTCTCCAATTTCATCAAAAGACATCTTGTATAGATGTTAAATCTTATGCCACAGTAGGCACAAAACCTATTGCCCTGCATGTTAAATACTGAACGTGGCTAAAAGAGAATGCAGAAGTAAATGCCATCTCAGTGACTTTCTCTGCCTCCAGGAGAAAACATTTACTGTGTCCTTGGTCTTTCCTGAGGGAACACTCATGGGGCACCTCTGCCTCTCAACCAAAATGGACTTCATCTTAATGATTTGCTAAGGCCTCCCTGCTACCTTCTTCTGGTTTTCCCTTCCTTATTCTAGCCTTTCCCACTCTAGCTCAGCCTTAATTCTGGGCTTCCCTCCCAGCTCTGATTTCTCCTTTTCTTCTGGCTGCCACATTTTCATGAAGTACCTGTCTCCAGGACACTGCTCTCATTTTATCAACCCTCCCCTTCTAAAACCCATAATTCTACTTCTGCTCTTTGAGGCAAGACAACAAAACCTACTTCCTTTACTAGAGGACTGACTTTAATTATCTGACTACACATTGCCAATCTCTTTTAACTATTTTTCATGTGACAACATCCACAGGCCTCTCACCATCCTGACTGTCCTATTCCCAGTGCTGTTTCCTAAAGCAAGAAATACTAGGCAGGGTGGCTTAAGCTATAGGGAGGATCTGGACAATGCAGGCACACTGATCCTTCCAAACTGTGCCCTTGATCAGGACCATTCCAGATCCGTCCAGTGATAATTGGGGTGACATGCATGCTTAGTAAAATGGAAAATAATAGGGATAATTCTAGTTTTTGCCCTCTCAATACTTAGCTTTACATGTGAACAGATGCCTTCTAACAAATCCTTTCCTAAATTCCTATCAATTATGTATTAAACCATTTCTCTCATAACTAAATGAAGAAAGACAATTGCCTCTACTACAACAATGTCCTTTGCTTACCCTACAAACTGACACATCTTTCTTTCTTTTTTGAAGAGCAGAAGCAGAATCCAGAGAAGCTTTGGACATAGGAGGAAGCACAAATATATTAACAAACAACCTGAAGCGCCTCCAAGGTCCATAGAAGGATAATACAGTTTGGCCTCCAACCATTCAATGCACCAAAGCTGATGCTTAAGAGATCAGTTTCCCAGTAGGTCAACTCTTCCCATCTCAGCAAATGAAAGAGGCATTGATTGATCTCAACATTATTCAAACTCTGCAAAAGGGTCTGGGCTCACTCAGGAAGGCACTGACATTATTATTGTGGGATGATGGATCACCCTGGCCCTTCACATCACAACCAAAAAGCATAAGTCACCAAAAGGCCAAATGTCTTATAAACACCCTAAGCAGCCTGACAAGGGAGACTTATTGCAGCTCACAGAGGGAGCAATGAGACGGAAGCACGGTGGCACCAGTATAATACATGTCAATAAAGAGAGTGGCACAGGGAACCATCAGTGATCATTTCTGGAGCTAAAAGGCTCCAGAAATCTTTCAATTTGATTTAGAAAAAGGTCTGTTCTATTATATTATGTTCACTCATGAAAATAATAAATTAAATTAAATATAGTTCCTGAGATAGATGGGAATACAACTAACAGACTATTTTATGAATGTGGACAAATAGAAAAAAGTATGGATAAAGGGCATTGAAATAGGATCTTACAGATGTATTTGAGTGTTTGAGAGAAAATCTTAATTGCCATGTGGAGATTATACAAGAATAAAACATGCACAAGAAAAAAAGCAATCAAACAATATGTAAATAGTTATAATTACATAACCATTGAATGTTGATGTAACCAAATATTGTACCTCAATTATATTGAGTATATGTAAGGAGAAGTATGCAAAAGGAAGGGGACAAGTGTAAGAAATCTAATTTGTCACAATAGGAAATAAAAGAATGTCCAAAAGTTGATAAAGCCAAACATTAGCTAAATATAATATTTAAGAGTTCAAGATGGTTGGCTCTGAGGAATGAGACCAGGAAATGTTCTTTTTTTTCCTCCACTGAAAATGTTATTGTATACTTTGACATTTTTGACTATATTACTTTAATAAAAGTAAAAATCAATTTTAAAAGTAATAAAAAAATGTAAAATATGATATCTCCAAGGGATTGGAAGGAAACATAATTTACATAATTATAGAATTAAAAACTTATTAAGTATGACACTAAGAATATAAACCAAAAAGTAGAAAGACTAATAGATTTAATTTCATAACATTTAATTCTCTTGAGTCTCAAACATAAAAAAGAATTTTAAGTGAAATTAAAAGAAACCCCCAAAATTGAGAAAAATGTGTGCAATATAGATGATACACAAAAGGTTAATAAATTTACATATTTATATAGCTCTTGCCAATCAATAAAAAAAATTCTAATAGAAAAATAACTAAGGGCATAAACAAAAATAGAGAGAAAGAAAGAAATACAAATTGTCAATTTAAAAAGTCCAATTTCTCTAATTAAAGGAATATACAGAAAGGTACCTGAAAGATGATCACAAACCAAGGAAGTAAGAGTGGTGGTTTCCGGATTGGTAGGTTCTTGGATGTTCTTCTGCCCTTTTTTTTAACCTTTTGCTTATCTGTATTTTCTGGTTTTCTAATTTTTTTAATTCCAAAATATTATGGAGGTACAAACGCTTTGGTTACATAAATTGTTTTTGTACCATTTGAGTCAAAGTGTGCCCATCCCCTACATAGTGTGCATTAGGTGTGAATTTACCCATTAGGTGTGAATTTACTCATCCTCTCCTTCCCCCCGCCCACCTGCCTGATTTCCAATGACAGTTATTTCCATATGTGCACATAAGTGTTGATCGATTAGTTCCAATTTAATGGTGTTTGTTTTTCCATTCTTGTGATACTTCACTTATAAGAATGCTCTCCAGTTCCATTCAGGTTAATACAAGAGGTATTAGTTCATCATTTCTTATGGCTAAATAGTACTCCATGATATACATATATCACATTTTATTAATCCACTCATGTATTGATGGGCACTTGGGTTGTTTCCATATCTTTGCAACTGGTGAATTATGCTGCAGTAAACATTCAAGTACAGATATCTTTTTTATAGAATGTCTTTTTTTCCTTTGGGTGAATACTCAATAGTAAGATTGCTGTATCAAATGGTAGGTCTACTTTTAGTTCTCTGAGGTATCTCCATACTACTTTCCATAGCGGTTGTACTAGTTTGCAGTCCCACCAGCAATGTATGAGTGTCCCTATCTCTCTACATCCATGCTAATATGTTGTTTGGGGACTTTTTTATAAAAGCCACATTCACTGGAGTTAAGTGATATATCTCCTTGTGGTTTTGATTTGCATTTCCCTGATGATTAGAGATGTTGAGAATTTTTTTGTATGTTTTTTGGCCATTAGTCTATCTTCTTTTGAAGAGTTTCTGTTCACGTCTTTTGCCCACTTTTGAATGAGGTTGTTTGATTTTTTTCTTGTTGATTTGCTTGAATTTGTTATCGATTCTAGTTATCACCCCTTTATCGAATGTATAGGATATTTTCTGTCAGTTGTTTATTTGCTCCAGGGATTGTTTCCTTGGCTGTGCAGAAGCTCTTTAATTTAATCAAGTCCCACTTATTTATTTTGTTGTTGCTATGATTGCTTTGGGGGTCATCTTCATAAATTCTTTCCCTAGGCCAATGTCTATAAGAGTTTTTTCAATGTTTTCTCAACTCCAAATGGATCAAAAACCTAAATATAAGACCAGAAATGATCAAACTACTAGAAGGAAACACAGAGGAAACACTTCAGAACATTGGTCTGGGAAAAGATTTTAGGAAAAGACCTAAAAATCACAGGCAACAACAGCAAAAATAAACAAATGAAATTATATCAAACTAAAAAGCTTCTGCACAGCAAAGGAAACAATCAACAGAGTGAAAAGACAACCTCTAGAATGGGAGAAAATATTTGCAAACTCCTCATCTGGCAGGAGATTAATATCTAGAACATACAAGGAACTGAAACATAACAGCAAAAAAAAAAAAAAAAAACCAATCTAAAAATGGACAAATGATCTAAACAGACATTTCTCAAAAGACATAATGGCCAACAAATAAATTTTAAAATGCTCATCACTAATCAGGGAAATGCAATTCACATCACAATAACATCCCAGTTAGGATGGCTACTATCAAAAAGACAAAAAAGCAACAAATGCTGGTGAGGATACAGAGAAAAGGGAACTCTTATACACTGTTGATGGGAATGCAAACTAGTACAGCCACCATGGGGAACAGTACGGAGGCCCTTCAAAAAACTACAAATAGAACTACCATATGATCCAGCAATTTCACTACTAGGAATTTTTCTAAAGGAAAGGAAATCATTATATCACCAAGACATCTGTACCTCCATGTTTATTGCAGCACTAGTCACAGTAGGCAAGATATGAAATCAACCCAGGTGTCCAACAACAGATTAATGGATAAAGAAAATGTGGTAGTTATACACTATGGAATACCATTCAGCCATTAAAAAGAATGCAATCCTGTCATTCATGTCAACATGCATGGAACTGGAGGACATAATGTTAAATGAAATAAGCCCAAAACAGAAAGTTAAACACCGCATGTTCTAACTCATATGAAGAAGCTAAAAAAAGAAGCCTCTAGGATACTAGAGGCAGGGAGGGATAGGAGGAAGGGAGGCATAGGCAGAAATTCATTAAAGGAAATTACAGCTAGATAGGAGGAATAAGTTCTAGTGCTCTGTACCACTGTTAAGATGGCTATAGTTAACAATGATGTATAGTTTCAAATAGCTAGAAGGAGGATGTTCCCAATACAAAGAAATGATAAATGTTTGAGATACTGCAAATACTAATTACCCTAATCTGATCAGCATGCATTATGTGCATTGAAACATCATTATGTAACCTATGAATGTGTACAACTATTATTATCTGTCAATTAAAAATGTTCAAAAAACATAATATATGAGAATATCATACTTAGAAGTGAGCACATGGTGGACACTCAATAAAAATACTTCCTGATTTATTAGGAAGGACTCTGAGGCCAAGAAAATATAAATTTCCTAGAACTACTGGTATACGAATTAAAATAGCATATAAATGATCAATGGCAATAAAATCAAGACTCATACAGGAAAAAAACTTAAAACGGGTAGTACACCTAAAGTAAAACTTAAAACTATAAAATTTCTAAAAAACATGTGTAACTTTGGGTTATGCAGAGATTTCCTGGAAACATCAAAAACATATTCATAAAAGAAAATATTGATAAATTGGAATGCATGAAATTTACAACTTACACTCTTCAAAAGAAATTGTTAAGAAAAGGAAAACAAAACCCAAGGACTGGTAGCAAATATTTTCAAAACATATATATGACAAAGGACTTGTATCCAGAATATATAAAGAAGTATCAAGACCCAATAATAAGAAAACAAAAGATTTGAACAGTCATATTATCCAAGATGATGTATGAATGGCAAATTAGCACATGAAATGATGTTCAACATCATTATTCCTCGGAAAAATTCTAATTAAAACTACAATGAGATACCACTCTATACTTATTTGAGTGGAAAAAGTTAATTTTCTAAAAAACTGACAATACCACATTGCGTACTGCATAGAAATCTCTAAGACATACGCCAGGGACGTTTCTGGGCAAACTGCATGTTATATAAATCATCATAACTACAGATCATAATGCACTTTAGGTATTGTTTTTCAATAATTATAACATTTTTATTTACAAAAACAATTAAACAACTAAACGATTAAAGTTACTAGTACTTTTTTAACGTATGGTACTGCGTAAAACATTTTCCTCTATGAAGAGGGAGCAAACAAAGTTTACATAAGTATCTAGATTCACTCCTTTTTCCATGGGCAGCACAAACTCTGTAGGCTCCCATAGAATTTTTTTCTTTCCACTCGCTGGAATACATGTAGGTTCGTGCTGCTTCATATCACCTGACAACTTTTGGGTGGATCTTTATGAGATGCTCTCCTTGCACCCCCAGGGCAAGGGCTGGACACATTTGTCTCTGGTTCTGGAGAGCCTTCATTATTGTCATCCCTTATCCAGTCTCCAGCCACTGATAGCAGAAACTGTTTATACTTCATTTTTGCTTGTGGATTGCGGACGTTGTACACTCTAAATGAATTGAAAAGTGCACAGTTTATAAGGTACAGCACTACTTTTTTTGTCCATTTCATCATTTTCCTTAGAATGGAACAACACGAAAGGAATTGATCCACACGGTCAACACCTTTCGTGTGGGCATTGTATTCCTTTACGCAGGTAGGTTTTACAATATTCTCTCCCGTTTTTCTATTTTTTTTTTCCCGTTGTCAAGACAGAAGTGTCATGGATCGTTGATATCATTCGGACAACCTGCTTGTCTTTCCATGCTAGGAGAAGAATATCGCCTTTTCTGGAAAATATTATGTCACCTTTCTTCATTCTTGATGTTTTCATTTACAAATTTGGCGATAAACCTCTACTCTCCCTAATGTACAAGACAGTGTGTTGACATCTAAGGTCCATGGCACGCGAAACACGAGAAAACTTGTGAGCGGTCCTTAACAGATGGTGTGCAAAACATGAGAAAACTCGTGCGCGGTATGAAAGGTGATACCAAGTGCTGACAAAGTTAGGAAGCAACTGTAACTCTCATATATTGCTAGTGAGAATGCAAAATAAGACAATCACTTTTCAAAACTTCTTGCCAGTTTCTTATAAAGTTAAACATACACTTACCATATGACTCCACAATCTCATTCCTAGGTATTTACAAAAAAATTGAAAACTTATATTCACACAAAAACAACCTGTACATGAATATTTACAGTGGTTTCATTGATAATTTCTAAAAACTGGAAACAATGCAAATGTCCCTCAAGTAGGGAATAAATAAACTATGGTAAATCCATACGGTGGATTACTACTCAGCAATATAAGGGAACAAACAACTAATACATGGAACATGGATGAATATCAACTGCATTATGCTAAGCTGAAAGAAGTCAGAGTCAAAAGTCTACATGAAGATTATTTCGAACAATATGACATTGTGGAATTGGCAAAACTATAGGAACAGAAAACTTTTGAGTGGTTCCCAGGGCTGGGGCTAAGAGTACTAGGGGATTCTAAGGGGAAGATGAAACTGTTCTGTAACTTTATTGCGGTAGTGATTACATAATAACTGTGTGCGTTTGTCAAAACTCATAGAACTGTACATTAAAAGGGCGAAGTTTATCATATGCAAATCATACTTCATTTTAAGTTACCATCTTTGCACCAGTCTTTCTTTAGTTATGCTCATACATCCATAAGATAAATTAGAATTGCTGAGACAAAGAACACTTGGCGTTTCAAATTTTGGTCGTCTGCCATATTGTCCTCCAAAAGGGCTGTGCCAAATTACACCGCTACCAACAGGGTATGATGACATGAAAGTTTCCTGTTTCCCCACACTGGCCTGGGGCCCATCTGGTTATCGTCAAAGGCTTTTCATCTTCAACAATCTAATAGGTGTCAAAAGGTATATGTAGGTTTTTTTTTTTTTTTTTTTTTTAATTATTTTTTTTTAATTATTATGTAGGTTTGATTTATATTTCTTTAGGAGAAAAGTTGAGTCTCCAGGTAAATGTTTACTGGCCATCATTTTTTTTCTCCCTACAAAATGCCTATTTGTATCTTTTGCCATTTAAATATAGTTTAAATGACTGACGATTGTTTCTAGAACTTAGCGGCTGGAAGGCACTGGAAGATGGGAGTCCTCGGTACCAAACCTAATACTATCAGGAACGTGGGGGACCGACGTCCAGGACATCCCAGGCGAAACAGCCTTTGCCGAGGCAGAAAGTCCCAAGGCTCAGACAAGCGCGCTTTCTTCACGTCCTGGCCCCGCCCCTGCTGGCCCGCCCCCGGGATAGGACAAGCCCTCTCATTGGCCCTGCCTGCTCTCCCTGACAGCCAGTCTTCGGGCAAGACTGCCTGACACGACACCGCCCCGCCCTCTCACTGGAGAGCCGCGCGGCGATGGAGCTCCGCCCCTTACCTGTGCTGTCCCTCACCTTCCCGGCTAGCGGCCAGTCGTCGGAGCTCTGACGGGCGCAGAAGCGCGCCGCTGACAGTCGCGGCGTCACCCACTTCTCCCCAAAGGGAAGGGTCTTTCCCGCCACCGGAGCGTCTCTGGAGGTGGAAGAAACTGCTGGTTCCAAGCCCTCCTCCTGCCTCTGGGAACCCTGTTCCCCTGGCAACCAGAAACACAACGCTTCAGTCTCGCGATAGGAGAAAGGGGCTGTACCATCGGAAATGGAACGTGGGGGGTAGAGGGTGCGAGGAAGACTGACAGGGCCTGGAGCTGGCGCGGCTCTGCTGTGGCTTTCTGTCTTCGAGCTGGACGGTGGGGCTGAGGAATGCTTCGTTCATATTTAGGTTGGATCGGAACCAGGACATCTGGACGCTTGTATGGCTCTGTCCCTCACTATTGCTGTCCCCGCAGGCCAGCTACTCACTCCCTCTCAGCTCACTTTCCTCCTCCGTAAAATGGGGACGATAATAATTCCGTCCTCACAAGCCTGTTGTGTAGCTCGAAGAGATCGTGTATGTGAAGCTCTAGGTAAATGGTGGGTGCTATGTAAATTTAAAAATATTAATTTTACACAGATTGATTACGCAGTACAAAAAGGATAATTGCTACTTGCCCATTCTTTTATTTCGTAGTGTCTCTAATTCTCGGCGAATGAAAATTATTTCCCTAGGTCTCCAAACCGATTTCCTTCATCTCCAGTACTATCAAATTTATGCTGCTTTCCAGTCCGAACAGCGCGTTACACTTTACAAGGCATTTTCACATTGATGGCCCCTTTGTCCTCATTGTTTCAGGTAGGATGTGTATTTTCAGCAGAGCAAATAGTCATAGGTTAAGTGAGTTGCCCAAAGAACACAGCTGCAGTCTAGGCCAGTGCTGGATGTAAAACCGTCTGGCTGTAATTGCCATCCATCTGCAGCTGAATCCAGCATTCCTATCTCCAGCCCAACCCTCTTCCTTGAACTCCAAACACCTTTAACGCCTATTTGACATTTCCTCTTAGATGTGTGAGAAACTTAGCACATCAAACTTAGCCATCAAAAAACAAACTACTTCTCCATCGTCTCCCACCTCACCCCACTCCACCCCACTCCCTATCCATCTCAGCAAATGGTAATTCCATTCTGACAGGCTCAGACCAAAAACCCTGGAGTCATCCTCAATTCCCCTTCCTCTCACACTCTGCAATCAATTATAAATCCTTTCAGCTCTACATTAAAAATATATCCGTAATTCAAACACTTCTCACACCTTCAGTGCCTCCTTTCAAGTCCATACTGACATCATCTCTCACTTAGAGTTTCAACACAGCAGCTTGAATTGTGCCCTCAAAACCGAGGCGGAGCCATGTCACTCTTGTGCTCTGGAATCTCCATGGCTCACCATTTCACTTAGAGTCCCTACAATGTCCACAGGTCCTAAATGACAAGGCTGTCTGTTACCTCTTTGACCTCCAGTCCTACCTCCTTCCCCCTGGTAAACTTTGCTCCAGCTTCACTGTCCTCCTTGTTAGTGTATATAGACAGGAATTTCTTCCCAGCATTTCTCGGGAAATTTTACATACTTTTCCAAATATCAAATTCAAAAACAAAATTGAGAAATCAAGAAAATGGGAGAAACTAATTCTCCTATGAGAATTAAAACTTTGCAGTCAACCATAGAGATGTTGAAGATACAGAAGAAATCCACTAATGTCAAGTTGAAAGCAAGAAGTCAAGTTGAAAGCAAGAAGCAGGAAATGTTGACAGTCTTAAAAGTTGAGGTCAGTATTTCCAGGAACCAGCACAGAAGCACCTTGGAAAGACATGGTCACAATCTAATCAGTCAGTCTTTCTTGTAGCTGGTGCCACATTTGCGTATGGGTTCCTGGCCCTTTCTGCTGCTAGCAGTCATTCTTGTGAATAAAATAAATATTAAAAAGTTGATATTCATTGTGTAATTTATATAATACAAATTTTATGAGCAGTATTCCAAGAAATAATTGCTTTGGATTCAAAATCCTTAAATTGGCAACCTACAACTTGTGATCCTGTGTAAAATTATTAATCTTGCTAGGAGATTTGTATGTTACATTATTCCAATACTACCCAATAATGTTCTCTGTGTTTTCCAATATTTGAATATTTGGTATAACCTACAGTTCTTGTAAACACTTCTAGTGAATTTAATAGTTCTTATGCAGATATACTCATAATGATGAGTAAAGAATATGAAGAAGGTTGGAAATATTTTAAGAATAACAAGATTTTGAGAACACCTGGCAATTCTGATTTCATGTTTCTGCATCCCAAAAATTAATATCTGCTGAGAATTTGGAAACACTACTCTTTGTTGTTGTTCCTCCAATACAAATAATTACACATATACACACATCAGCTTGCTGCTTCCTCTGCCTGAAATACAATTTCCCAGCTTCCATATGTCTTGCTTCTTCTCTTTCCTCAGGTGTCTGCTTGCTCAGGAGGGCCTTTCCTAACCACTCTTTATAAAATAATATAGTCCCCATCTCCACATTCCCTACCTTCTGTCCCCTCAACCCTGCTTTACTTTTTTATAAGGAAGTGAGATGTCATTATTTGGATTCTGATTCCAAACAGCTGGGTGATCTTAGGTAAATCCATAAACTTGTGGATTGTGTGAGCCACAATTTCCTCATTTGAAAAAATGAGCTTAGACTAGTTTTGCAATTCTTAACTCTATTGCACATTAGAATCACCGGGGAGATTTCATAAGATACTCATCCATGGCTGTATCTTGAGATCAAATGAGTCTGAAGCTCTAGGGCTGCTGAAACTTTAATGCACAGACAAATCACTGGGTAATCTTATTAAAATAAATGCTGATTCACTTGTCAGGTGGGACCCAAGTCTCCAACAGGCTCCCAGGTGATGCCAGTGCTACTGTTCCATCAACAACTGCTTGAGTAGCTACAGACTAGATCATCTCCAAGTGCCCCCCTGATTCTTATATGCTGTGAGGAAAGGCCCCTTCCTTCCAGTTTTTATTTTTGGTGACTGAAGATGTCCATTAAGAAAATAACATATTTTGGACTTCTTAATGGGGATGGGGAGGTACTAAGAAAAAGCAGAGCTATGATCAATGCACATGATTACTGGTGTTTTCATTTTTGTAAACTGTTGCATTTAAAATACATGCTACATAAAACACATATAAAGTAAGTCAAAATAAAATTCAGGTTCAATAGAAACTTTGTATCTTTTCACTTTAGACATGGTCTCCTTCTGTTGCCCAGGCTGGAGAGCAGTGGTATCATCATAGCTGACTGCAACCTCAATCTCCTGTGCTCAAGCAATCCTCCTGTCTCAGCCTCCCAAGTAGCTGGGACTACAAGTGTGTGCCACCATGTGCTGCTAATTTTTCTTTTTCTCTTTTTCTTTCTTTTCTTTTTTTTTTTTTTTATGTAGAGATGGGGGGGTCTCACTCTTGCTCAGGCTGATCTCGAACTCCTGACCTGAAGCAGTCCTAACTCCTCTGTCTCCCAGAGTGCTAGAATTACCAGGCACTCTTCACTGTTTGTAACCTTTCCAGACTAAATCCCCATTGATTATATTTTGCATAAAACTTATGTCATCTTGAATTATTTTCTGTTTCTGTAATTCTCAGTTTGTTTATTTACCTCCTGCTGCTTCATTTTGTAACCCACTGAGAGGCTGTATGTCTTGAGATCAAGCTTTAATAAATTGTATTTGTTGGCGCATGCCTGTAATCCTAGCACTCTGAGAGGCTGAAGCAGGAGGATCGCTTGAGCCCAGGAGTTTGATGTTGCAGTGAGCTGTGCTGATACAGCTGCACTCTAGCATGGACAACAGAATAAGACATTGTCTAAAAATAAAATTGTATTTGTTGTGTATTTGTTTTTATTTCCTGAAATATTTCTGTGTCAGCTATTGCAGATAACACCCTCAAAATGTTTACCATTCAGATACGTTCTCAGAGAGGATCGTATTTTACTATGCTGCGTTTTCTGTAGTTCTGTGTTCAAAAACCACAAACATATTCTAGAAAGTGTTGTGCCTTTCAAAGTAACTCATAAGAATTTCTCCTAGAGTCAAGATGTTTTAAGCTAAAATTTTTCTGGTCTCATTCCAGGTTGGTGACATATGGCAGTGTTGGTTTCAGAGTTCACTTTTGTTTTTGTTTTCAATCTCCCCCTAGTCTTGACATCCTCCTTCTGGGTGGAGTCAGATGGGAATGAATGGAAGACTGCACATTGTTTTCCTTCTAGGCTCCAACTACCATTTCTCCTTTCTCACCATGAACTCAAACAAGTGTAACAACATGGTAGGAGAGGAATCTCATTAAGCCTCATATCATAGAGTCTACAAACTGGATTAGACAGCCATTTCTTTTGAAGGGCAGGGAATAGTGTGTGCCACTGGACAGTTCCTGACTCCTGTGAGTCTCTGCTTAGTGTTATTAAAAAATTACTTTTACCAAGTGTTTAAAACATGCCTTAGATGCATCATTTCACTTTGTTTCATAACGTTCTATGAGTTGGCATTATTATTAACTAGATTTATAGTTGAGAAGCAGAGCAACAGAATGATAAGTAATTTTTCCAAGCCCATTTGTGAACTAACTAGCCCGGGGGTTTCAAGTCAGGTTCCAACACCTGCTCTTTTAACCACACCATTGGTCTGAATTCAAGAAAAGAGGTTATTTGTATCCACTAGATGGTGCTGATTGTCTTCTGTTAAAGAAAAACACGGCCTTCACTTTTTGAGACATTCTCACTATCCTTGAATTTTAGGTGTGATTCAAGAAAGCACTGAGCCGAAATATCCTGTATGTTTGAACTTTGTTTGTGTGTATTTTTAAATAGCTGTGCAAATAGGAAAAGTGAAAATTAGATCTCAAAAAAACAGAAGGGATTTTTAAAAATATCTTAGTACATACTATAAATATATCAAATAACTATTGATGACTTTGAGAGACTGAAAATTCTCTCACATCTGTATTTACATAACATCAACAGACTTAAAAAGAAGTCCGTGTCTCATTCCATTTACCACTTTTATACAAACCAATTTTATACAAACTTCTCTCCCTCCAAGCCTGCTTGGCCACAGTGCCATCCATGTAAGCAGGGGGCACGGGCAAGGAAGTAAATAAAGCCTTAAAGAACAAAAATCAGGTTCTGGAACAGAAAGTAAAATACACTTTAAGTATATGTTTAGTATGTGTTTAGTACCTTTTCTAGTAGAATTTTAGAACTTAAATGCTGTGAAATAAGTCTGCTTCAAATGAGATCTCAGAGTTTGTTGTTCACAAGGATCAGTTCAGATATTATTAAAAAATGTTAACTTCAGTCCCTGCTACCTGACTCAGTAGGCCAGGAATCTGCATTTTAACAAGCACCTTGGTGATTCTGGTGTGAATGAGCCATGAGCTTACTTTGAAAAACAGACTTCAAGTTTGCGTTTTAGAGGGTAAATAGTGATAAGGTCGCTGGTGCTCCCATGGAGCTCTCTGCAGTTGTGCAACCTGGGGGCTCTGAACTGTGACATCCAGCTATTCCTTTGTAAATAGTAAGTTAGAAAACTGAAAAATGTCCTCCCTTCCCACTTCCTTAATTCTGAACCTTTTTACCTGCTCTTCCTATCTCCTATGGAGTGCTACACAGATTTGGGTGCTGGTCAGTGGATGTCTGCATTTTTTAAAAAATCAGGAATGAAAAAATTAAAAAAAGCCTGCAACTTCTCAATGCCTATTGGTCGAAAAACATAATGATATCTTTAAAAAAAGTTTTAAGTGAAAGGTCTTAGCCCATGCATTATCATACAACCTTGTTTAACCAGTTCAAGTGATCCAAAAATGTAGGGGGGAAATCTGTGCCAGGAGATTGTGGAAATGTGTAAAAAGCAGTGCGGACGCACACAGACACACGCACACACACACAGAGTAGTGCAGCCATATATTTATGGCCCAGAAA